CCCTCCTCCCTTCCTCCCTTCTTCCCCTCCTCCCCTCCTCCTCTCCTGCCCTCCTCCCTTCTTCCCCTCCTCCCCTCCTTCCCTCCTCCACGAACCATCTGCCCTGGACCTTGCCTGGCTTTCCACTGCCACACAGGTCTTGGGGCTTCCAGCTCTTCCTACCCACTTTATTTTAGAGAATGTGCAACTACCTTGACACCTAGCTACTCTGAAGACACTGTCCAGGGGCTTTGGGTTTGTCTATCTAGTTGCTCTAACGTTATGCTGACTGGGCAGAATCTGAAGGCTCTGCTGCAGCCTTTCCTGCCATTTCCTGAGAAGCCCTCATGTCAGTCTTTATTTCAGCCATTTTAATGGATGGAAAGTGGCATCTGAATGTCGTTTAATTTGCATTTCTCTGATGACCATGATAATGAACACCTTTTCATATACTGAGCTATTTATAGTTCTTTGGTGAAGTATCCAAATATTTTATCCATTTTAAAAACTGGGTTGTCTTTTTAGTATTGAATTTTAAATACCCTTGAATACAATTCTGGGGCTACTTTTTTCATTTTCTCAATGGTGTCTTGATAAGCAGAAGCTTAATTCTGAAGTTCAATTGGTTAATATTTTATGGCTAGTTCTTTTTTAAAAAACTGTTATTAAAAACAGGGTCTCGCTATGTTGCCCAGGCTGGTCTCTTAACTCCTGAGCTCCAGCAATCCGCATCGGCCTCCCAAAGTGTTGGGATTACAGGCATGAGCCACCTGCACCTGGCCTTTTCTTTTTTAAATAGAGGTGGGTTCTCACTATGTTGACCAGGCTAGTCTAGAAACTTCTGGCTTCAAGCAATCCTCCCGCCTTGGCATCCCAGAAAGTGCTGAGATTATAGACACACGAGCCACCATGCCATTTTTTGTTTAAAATGTTTCCTTCTGGCCAATGGCTGGGTCTTTAATGGGTGCTTAAGGAATCTTTGTCTACCCTAAAGTCATGAAGCTATTCTCCTACATTTTCTTCTGAAAGCTTTATAATTCTAGTTTTTATGTTAAGATCTTCATGTTTATGGTGTAAGGTGGTGGCAGGGGTGTCACAGTTAATTTTTGTCCACCGGGATATCAGATTCTTGCAGCACCATATGTTCTAATAATTTTCCGTTCCCCACTGAATTATATTGGCTCCTTTGCTGCAAATCAGTTGGCCATAGATGTTTGGGTCTATTTCTCTTCCACCAATCAATTCTTTATCTATAAGTCAGTAGCACAGTAAGTCTTGAATTAGCGTCAGTCCTCCAATTTAATTCCTTATTATTTTGGCCACTCTTAGTCCTATGCACTTTCATATAAATTTAAAATTATCACTTTCCACAGAAAGCATACTGGGAGTTTGATTAAAAGTCGTGGGTTTCACCACGTTGGCCAGCCTGGTCTCGAACTCCTGACCTCAGGTGATGCGTTTAAAAAAAAAAAAGAAAAATTAGCATTAAAACCATAGATCAAATTGTGGAAAATTAACATTTTAATGACACTGAGTCTTCCAATCACGAATGTAGTGTAGTTCGCAATTTATCGAATCCTGATTTTTCTTAATGTTTTGTACTTTTTATCATACAAGTCTTACACATATTTTGTTATATGTACCTAAGTTCTTATATTTTGGATGCTGTTGTAAACTGCAGTCACAATACCATGAACTTCAGTTTTGAGCTGTTTGTTGCCCATATGAAGAACAATTCATTTTTATATTGATTTTTTTTTTTTTGTGGTCCTGATAAATTCCTATGTCTAGTAGTACTTTTGAAGACGCCCTGTGATTTTCTGCATACTCGACCGTAGTCTGCAAATACACTGTCACTTCTTCCTTCCTAATGTACACGCCTTTCATTTCCTTTTCTTGCCGTATTGTGCTGGCTGGGGGAGGTAAGAACAGCTTCCCAGTCACCTTCTCATTACATGAGGCTGCAGTGTCTCCACAGACGCACTTTGTGAGGCTGAGGAATTTTCTTTCCATTCCTAGTTTGCTGAGTTTTTATCATAAGTGGGTGTTGAATTCTGTCAAATTTTTTATCTACATGTTTTTACTGCAGGGTTACATATGCCTTTCCCCCTGTATTGCTATCGTTGTAAATTATATTGATCAAATCTCTTATGTAAACCATCTTTCCATTCCGAGACTAAAACCAATTTGTTCATAATGTAGCATCCTTTTTATATGTTGTTGGATTTGATTTGCTAATTTTTGTAAGGAAATTTTTTTTTTCTATATTCATGTAGGATATAAAAATCCTCTGTTCTCTACTTGCTCATCCCTCCCTCCCTCCCTGTATTAGCTGGGTTTTCTAGAAAAGCAGAACCAATAGCCTGTATAGACATATAGAAAGAGATTTATCACGAGGGACTGAGACACTCTGTGATTTGCTGCCTGCAAGCTGGAAGCCCAGGAAAGGCAGTGGTGGTGTTCCAGCCCCAGGCTGAAGGCTTTTGAGCCAGAGAGCCAATGATGTAGGCCCTGGTCTGAGTCCAAAGGCCTGAGAGCCAGAGTGCTGACATCTAGCTCAAGGAGAGAGCAAGTCACCCTTCCTTCATCTTTTCGTCCTATTTGGGCTCCCAGTGGATTGAGTGGTGCCCACCGGCATTTGTGAGAGCAGATCTTTATTGAGTCTGCTGATTGAAACGCTAATCTCCTCTGGAAACACCCTCAGACACTTGCAGAAATAATGTCTTACCAGCTACCTGAGCTCTTTTAACTTCGTCAAGTTGACATAAAATCAGCCACCCTACTCCCCATAATCCCTAGCAAGCAGTGGTCTTTTTGTCTTCATGTTTTTGCCTTTTCCAGAACGTCGTACAGTTGGAATCATACAGTATGTAGCTTTTTCAGATTGGCTTATTTCACTGAGTAATAGACTCTTAAGATTCCTCCATAACTTTTCAAGGCTTAT